CTGCATCAATGAATATAATATGTTATTCAAAATGCAATTCACATATTTATTATGGTTTTTCCTTGATAATATTTTTCCATTAATTATAAGAATTTTTTATGTAAATATTTATACCTTTATTTATATTATATTTTTAAATGTATTTTAAAAAAAGATAACATTTTTTAATAACTTATACATACCTATTTTTCAAATGTACTTCCTTATTTTATATTAATTGATCTTTTTCGAATTTCACTTCAATCTTGCGTTTTCAATATCCAAAAAAATGAAGTAAGATCGAGAGGAACTTATCTTAAAATCGCATTTCTGCAAGAAACCGATGTGAATCGGTTCAATTTAAAAAAAAAATCAAAATGGTTAATAGTGCATTTTTACGTGTTTGAACTTTGTTATTTTGTTTGTTATTTTATTTGTACCTCAAAACGATTTACGCACGATCACATAATATTATATTTTTAAATTCCGTTTATACAAGAAAATCGTTTGTATACCTCTGTCGATTTCATTATAACTTAAAGAAAATGATATAAAATAAAGATATAGCGTTTTTCAATTTCAGCGTAATCCTTTCGCCGTTTTTCCTCAATATCTCATCAGTATTGTCATATTTAACATCATTACGTAGGCACGCTGCTTAGTGGATGACTCATCGCTCATACGTATAGTCACATAACATTGTGATAACACGCGTAGAAAATTTTTTTTAGAAAAAAATGCAATTATACAAAGTTTGAGAAATGCATGGTGATTATCGTGCATCACGTGCAAACATTAAGGTAATCTTGTCTCGCTATTTACATTTTAGTATCTGTAAAACTACCTGCACGTTCCAATTATGTCTACACGAGAAAGCCTGCGAATCTCTTTACCAAAAGTTTATTAAATATAAAAAATTATTCGAAATATTATCTGTTAAAAAAATTACGTTTTCATCTATTTCGTTAAAAATATTTGACAAATATTTGCCAGTTCATACCTGCTAGATCTTCAGTTAGCATCGATATACTTTGCGATATTATATAGTTACGTCTATTCAAGATAATGGGAACAATGTTCGTAATATGCCTGGTTGAAATTTCTTGATAACAGTAATTAAATATTTCTTTTCAATATTGCTTTCCGTATCAATCAACAAAATAAGATTTATTAATCTCTAAATTGAAAAGATTTATGCATTACGCTAAATAAATATATTCTAAAACAATAATATACATGTTATTATCTTGTGTTCATCATGTAAGACAATAACGTATACCCTTAAATCATATCTTAAATCATATCACATTTATTTAATTACAAAAAATTAATCTATCACACAGTTGAAAATTACATAGAAATAATAGAAGCAATTTTACATGCTATAGAAATCCCTCTGTTCAAGTAGTAATATAACTGTAACAAAGCAGTATTCCCCTCGACAAAATTGATTGTTCAAGCGCACGCAAGTTACTTTTCCCCTTTCCTGTCCTAACAATGTTGAAAGCATCTGCGATTGTCATGCGCAATTTTTTACCATCACGCTATCGACGAAGCATACCAGTCGCCTTCGCGCCATCGTGACGATAGTATGGCTAAGCTTAACATCCCTTGGTCGAATGTGAACAGTGAGAGGGATATAATCAAAGCGCTAGTGTGGAATCGATGGATACTACGAATTCTCGGAATCTGGCCGTTGGTTTATTCGAATACTACAAAGATCGAGAAGATATTAGCGACGATATCATTCGCATTATGTTGGTCCGCGCTCAGTTTTCTTTTGATTTCCATGATCATTATTACGCTATCAAAACACAGTGCCACAAATGATAAAATTAAAGTGTTAGGTCCATTATGTTATGTGTTTGTCGTGACGTTGAAATATTTCTTCCTGATTCTTCATCATAAGAGCATCCAGCAATGCATTCGCATACTGAGTAGTGATTGGCGTACAATCCAACAAGAAGATCATCGAAAAATCATGATTAAAAACGCAGCAAAAAGCCATGTGTTATCCAAGTTTAGTATAATATTCATGTATTGCGGAGGCTTGTGGTTTCATGTCATGATGCCGTTTTTGTCGCATACTATCAACGAGCAGAATGTCACTATTAAACCAATGCCTTTTGCCGGCTTCGATAACGTTTTCAACTTCCATTTAATGCCAGTTTATGTGTTTGTTCTTTGCGCGCAATGGTTTTCCAGCATCATATTATTCAACGTCACCACGGCAGTGTGCTGCTTAGCAGCCATGTTCGTAGCTCATGCTTGCGGCCAAATCGAGATCGTAATGGATCGCGTAGAAAGCTTTATAAAAGGTGCACAAAGCAATCACATGAAGCAATGTATGGCAATTATTGTAAAACATCACGTGCAGTCATTGAGGTGAGTCTTGTTGCATATTGTTACGGAAATAATTATCTGTATCAGACGTACCTGATGTATATTACTTAAATTAAAAATTTATATAAACATAACGTATGAAACATAACATAAAAAATATTTGCAAAAATAAAAATGTAAATCTTTTAATTTAAGTTTTTATACAGATATATAGAAATATTTATAAATGAAAATTAATGTAAATTTAGCTCCTATTAACTATACTCAATAACTACGTTCTGCAGAAAAAACTAATCAATTAATCCGTTAGCGATTCGTTAATATGATTGGTTCTTGCCTTTAATTCTTTATTGGATCTAAATTTAGGAATCTTTCATATTAACCTTATGGAAAATAAAAGAAATAAATAATTTACATCAAATAAAATATATATACTATATATATATATATACACAACTGTATATATTGTATGTTCAACTTGCATTCTCATATATTCAGTTCTATCATTACATGTAGATATTTAATATTTCTTTATAAATATTAAAAATATATTAACAAATCTCATTTTTTAAAGAAATTAAATTTTATAGTGTAAACATATGTTTTTAATTCAATAAAAACGTTACGAATAAATGATTGAATATTATCTTATTCTCACAGGAGTGGAACAACAACGATAGCATAGCTATTTTAACATATTTCTTTCTATTAGTATCGTTTGTCTTCAACGTTTTCACACTTTGCTACATTGGTGAACAGTTAACAAGTCAGGTGTTTATACTTCGATTTTTAATAATAAAATAAATTATATTAAATTCAAAATTTAAAATTTTAATTTGGTTATTTATAAAAATTTTTACATATACATAAATAATGTACATATATAAATTAAAAATACATATGTACATATACAGGGTCACGTAAGTGCTTTTAACCAAGCGATTTTGTGTAAATGGAACGGATTAAACTGAGTCGAAAAGTTCTGTATCATTTTGCAATTTTCGCAATGGTTAACAAGATATTAATTATTAAAAATCACTGAATATTGGTTTTAAATAATTTTTTACTCAAGTACTATCAACTTTACAGAAAAACAGCAACAGACAAAAATTACTTATTTTCTTCTCATAGAGTTCTGAGAATTTTTTCAGAATTTTTTAGTACCGCATTTCCTCATGTTGATAAAAATAAGAAAATGTAATATTAAAAAGTTGATAAAACAATCTTAGAGAAAAATTCTTAGCTCTATGACAAAAATTCTTAACTCTTAGAGAAAAATTTTTAGCTCTATGAGAAGAAAATAATTTTTATCTCTTGCTGTTTTTCTGTAAAATTGATAGTATTTATGTAAAAAATTATAGAAAACCAATATTCAGCGATTTTTAATAAATAATATCTTGTTAACCATTGCGAAAATGATAGAGAACTTTTTTAACTCTAGTCCATTCTATCTACAAAAGCGCTAAGCCAACAATTGCGGGACAACCTGTGTAATATGTATATAATAATATACATATATAAATTAAAAAATAATTTAGTGCAGTAAAATTGGATATACTTCGTACGAAATCGAGTGGTACCATTTACCAGGAAAAATTGCACTCGATCTTACGTTAATAATCAGCATATCACATCATCCTGTAAGAATTAGTGCAGGAAAAATAGTTAGTCTTTCGTTCTCGAGTTTCGGCTCCGTAAGTACAATTCATTATCATTTAGAAGACGAAAAGGCATAATAATGAAAAATTTTTTTTAAATCACATATTTATTACATTAACAGGTTCTGAAAACTTCAGTTGCGTATCTAAACTTGATTCAAAAATTTATTTGATATATACGAGATAATCTTTATAATTTTGTCCCTGCCCAAAATAATTAGTCGAATTAATATTGATTGATGGCATTGGGCTATTGACGTCGATTCGATCAATTATTTTTTGCTGAGAATTTGTATCAACAAAATAATATTCAGTAAAATCTTTTTATTGAGAAAAAGATTTATAAATACTTGTGAATGAATTATGAACACTGAATGATTATATTCCAAGATAATATTGTATACATGTTTGATAAAATCCATTAAATGCACGTATCAAAACATTCAATAATAAATTTATCCCGATTCAAAATTTTAGATTTTAGAAATAAAAATATTTTACATTTATCATTTAGCTAAACTGCATCAATGCATACAATATATTATTCAAAATGCAATTCACATATTTATCATAGTTTTTCCTTGATAATATTTTTCCATCAATTATAAGAATTTCTTATGTAAATATGACCTTTATTTATATTATATTTTTAAATGTATTTAAAAAAAAGATAACATTTTTTAATAACTTATACATACCTATTTTTCCAATGTACTTTTCGATTTTATATTAATTGATCTTTTTCGAATTTCACTTCAATCTGGTGTTTTCAATACCCAAAAAAATGAATTAAGATCGAGAGGAACTTATCTTAAAATCGCTTTATCGCAAGAAGTAATGTGTTTTTATGGCGATGCTTTCTGACAAAAACGTTTCACACATTGCTAAAATCGCGTACAGACTATATGCAGCAGTCTATACGCAGAGAAAAGGATGTCTGCAATTCGAGCGCAAGCGCATGTCCAACGACCTTGCAATCAATGCCGCGCGCTGTCTATCTCGTGCAGTCTTTAACAGCCACTGTGACCGCAAACATGTCAAGTACGCGCAATGAGAAGGATCCCAACTATCAGCAAGACATTCGATATATATTCAAGCTAAACAATTGGATTCTGGGCTCGATTGGCATATGGCCAGTCTCGATTCAAGGCATCGGACGACACGCGCCCAAGATCGCGATCGCGCTCGGTAATCTCGCGTTAAGTTTCGCCATGGTGCCCTGTGCCTTGCACATCGTATATGACGAGAAGGACATCATCATGAGATTGAAGCTATGCGGCCTTCTAGCATTCTGCCTCACCGCGATGACAAAATATTGCATCCTCGCGATACGTCGCCCTAAGATACTTCGCTGCATCGAATATGTAAAGCATGATTGGTGGCAGGTCGGTATTATTAGTACTTAACAGATGCTAATCGTCTCGAAGTATCGAGAATGGTTTAAATAAAAAAAATCCGTAAGTTAGTGTTATCTCAGTTCTAAAAATTGCTTTTTTAATATTATTTTCATTTCTGACATTGTAGCAACAACTTTGAACATAAAAAACCAGATAATATAATAGCTAGATAATTAAATTGGTAAATAGTGAGTTTTACGCTGATTACTTAATAAGCATTTAACTAATCAATTGCATTTTCTGTTTAGTAGAATTGACTGATCAATTCTACTAAACAGCAAATGCGATTGATTAGTTAAACGTCCATTAAGTAATTGACATTGGTGAAACCGATGATCTCTTATTTATCTAGAGAATTAAAAATTAGTGATAATATTGTGATAGGTAACATTCAGATCTGACCGGGAACTGATGCTGAAGTACGCGACTATCGGTCGCAATCTAACAATAATCGGCGCATCTTTCATGTATACTGCTGGCGTTATTTATTACGGAATTCTGATCCCATTCTTTTCTGAGACCAAAATCAACAATCAAACCATCAGACCACTTGTTTATCCAACTTACAATGAATTTTACCAATTCCAAATTAGTCCTATATACGAAATTGTATATGTGGCTCATTGTATGTGCGGATATACAATATATTCGATAACAGCTGGTGCATGCGGATTGGCTGCTTTGTTTGTCACTCATGCGTGTGGTCAAATCCAAGTGATCATGTCGCGATTGAAAAATCTCTTAAACGACGAAAACTCAAATATTCATCAACGGATCGCTATCATCGTGAAGGATCATGTCCGTATAGTAAGGTAATTTCAGAATATCTATTTCTCACTGAGACAGAAAAATGCTTGTTATTTGTACTATAATTACATTTTATTATAATTATAGTTATTGTTATAACATTAGTAACCATATATATAATTCTAGTAACAAATATATATGTTGGCAACCTAAAACGAGTAAAATTATAACCATAGTAGTTATTATAACCATAAAAAGAATTAAAATTACTATAAAATAATTCGAATTGCAATCTTATAGCCACATTGTTTGAAACATATCCCAAAAAATGACCTATAAGATTATGCTAATTTCAATCATTTTTATGATAATTTCAATCATTTTTATATAATTATACTATTTCAGGTTGTCATATATATACATTTATTGCTAGAACTATATATATATATATATATATATATATATATATATAATTATTAATAGTAATGTTGTAACAGTAACAATCATAATTATAGTAATATGTAAATATAGTTACAAATACCGAACATTTTTTTCTCAGTGCTTAAGAACTCAAGACAGTTCAGTAATACAAAGAAATTAAAAAATATAGCTAAAAATTTTTAATAGTATGTAGTTTATATTATAACTGAAATTTAATAACAATATTATAATAACAAATTAAAACAAGTTATTAAGACTTTATTGTGTAATGTTAACTTAACTAGCATAATTAATTTGACTCAGAAATAATATTACGCATTTGTTTTATCATGTCTAATTTGATTGTTAATTTATATATGAGGCATTCCACATCAAATCGACGGTCTTTGTCATCGACTCGTGCCGATGTTTTTTTACTGATTTTTTAAAATTATTTCTCATATTGACATATGTATTCATTAATTTTTTTAAATGTTTATCCCTATTAATTTCCGAGATATGAATTTCTTTATATTTTCAATTTATTTTATTTCGTAAACCTTTAGTTCAAGTTAATTCTGTTTAAATTATTGATTTAGTTATGTTCTATTTAAATTATTAAAAAACAAAAAATAACGTCTTGAAATTTTCTGTTAGGAAAAAAATATTAAAAAAAACTTTAAGTTCTTGTTTCTACTAAAAAAATTTGATTGATTTTTCAATAATTAAAACAGAACTTATGTTCAACTAAACTTTATAAAATAAAATAAATTGAAAATATTAAGAAATTCATATCTAGGAAATTAATAGAGATAAAAATCTATATAAAAAAAAAACTAAATACATACTTTAATATGAAGAATATATTAAAAAATCAGTAAAAAAAATCGGTAGAGGTCGATAAGCTGTCGATTTGACGTGGAATGTTCCATATATATATAATATTAAAAAATATATATATAATAAAAATAAATGCATATAATAATTAAAAAAATATAATTGTATACTGCTGCACTTCGTTTATACGACTTGATCAACTGTTTACAATTCATTGTATAAAGGATACAGAATGCAACAGGTGGTCTCAATTAACATTCATTTAAAGTTTCAGTAAATGGTGTTGTTACATATCAAAGAATCGACTATAAGCATACATTGTATATTAGCCTACATTCATATATACTGCGTACTTAGACTGCACTGCAGTTTAATGCACAAATATATTTGAGTAGGAATGTCAGGAGTAATACATTCAAGTTTCCTTATAAATTAAAACTTATTACAGATTTTCAGCTGTGGTAGAGGAAGTTTTACAAGAAGTATGTTTAGTGGAATTTACTAGTTCTGTATGCACAATATGTTTACTTGAATACTACTGTATAGTGGTGCGCTAATATGTACTGTATACTTAAAACACCGGATAAAAGATAGTAGCACGAGAAAATTATATTTACTATTTACGATTTAATAGGACTGGAAAGACGACAATAAGCTTAGCTTAGCAACTTATTTTTTGCTCTTCATTTCGTTTTGCTTTAATATATATATATTGTGCTACATTGGCGAGCTTCTTATGGAAAAGGTACGTTTTTCAGATTTTAAAGTTAATCACTGATCATAATCATATGATCGTTTGCGACGATGTTGCAGAGTACTGAAATTGGATCAATGTGTTATATGATCAACTGGTATCAATTATCGCCAAGATCTGTCCGCAATCTTGTACTGATAATTGCTATGTCCAGCCATCCTATAAAACTTAGTGCTGGCAGAATGGCAGATCTGTCATTAACGACTTTTGGAAATGTGAGGCATTAAATACATATCACTTCTAGCTTGCTATGTTCCATTTATCCTTCAGTTTTAAATCAAAAATTCGCACTCATTAAAAAAAAAAGCATTTTTTAATAAGCAATAATATTAATAGCTATACAAGTTTTATATGTACAATTAATATACAATTAATATACAGTTAAATATAACAAATCGTGCACATTAATAAATTAATTATTTTACAGTTGTTGCAGCTAAAGCTAAATGGTTATCAGAATTTATTAGTCACCACTTTTGTTGCAATAAGTATAAAATAGATTATTCAACTATATATACAATATATACTTATTAATTCTACATATAAAACTTTTATCATTTATATAGTTGTGATCATTATGTTTTTTTTCTAAGTGCAACAATTCTACCGAAAAAAATCAATATTGAAGAATTATTTAATGATACGCTCTTAGATATCAGAATCTAACAATAATTTAATTCTTCGAAATTATATAAAGCTAAATTAAAAAATATCATTTTAATATAATTTTTTAGGTACTGAAAACAAGCGTAGCGTATCTGAGCTTCCTACGGACATTAGTCATGTAAATATAATTGCAATTGTATAAAATATATTAAGAAACGTATTTAATTTTATCTAGTTAATCTGTAGAACACATAGAATCTTAATATATATATATATATATATATATACATAAAATAATATTATTTAGAATATTATATCAATATAAGGTACATAAGAGACATTCTTTCCATGTTACCCATATTGTTGAGTCATTCCCGCACAAATTTATAATCTCTTTTTTATTTTTTCAATCCACGCTAATAATTTAAATTTAATAATTAAATAAAGTAGAAAATATTAAACTATGAACAGATGAATCAAATTTTATCAAACCTAGATTTCTCAAATAACGAATTAAAGTCGATTAAAAAAATTCAAATAAAATTGCAGCTTCCTTGATATAGAATCAACATCATTTTGGATATAAAATATATTTTTACGAACACTCCACGATTAATTGTGTGTACACGAACTGCCAGACTTATTGACTCATCAGCATTGAAGAGTGTCTGCAATGTCAGCGCAAGCGCACATCTCCCAACCTTGCAATCAATGCCGCGCGTCGGTCTAGTCTACTCTTCTTGCAGTCTTTAGCAGAATCTGTCACCACAAACATGTCCAGTATACGCGATAAGTCCACCAGATCACATAACTCCAATTATCAGCAAGACATTCAACATATATTCAAATTGATCCACTGGATTATGGGGTCGCTCGGTATTTGGCCAATCGCGATACGAGGCATTGGAAAACACATGTCCAAGATTGCAATCGCGATCTTTAATTTCGCGTTGAGCTTCGCGATAATACCCTGCGCTCTGCATATCATTTATGACCAAAAGGAGTAATGACAAAATACTGCATCTTCGTAATACATCGTCCTAAGATATATCATTGCATCGAATATGTGAAGAACGATTGGTGGCAGGTCGGTATTGCTAATAACATATCGTATTAATGTGGAGTTCGTTACAAGCTGATATTAAAAAAATTATTTAAGTAAAAAAAGAATAAGAACACATAATTAAAGTGATCTTGATTTTTAATTAATTCGATCTTATGATCTATCATTGTTTGAAAAGTAAATGTATTTTGTATTATATAATAATATTGTATAAATCAAAATATACGAATAATTAATCTTTTCTCCATGTTGCACAGCAAAAACTTTAACTTAAAAAAAATTACATTGCGAAATTAATAAATGATGATCTTTCATCTATCTCGATAAATAACAGTTACTAGCAACACTGTGACAGGTGACATTCAAGTCCGATCGCGAACTAATGCTGAAGTACGCTACCACCGGTCACAATCTGACGATAATCGGCGTGTGTTTCACGTACACTGCTGGCCTCATTTATCACTTGATTCTACCGTTCTGTGTTGAGCACAAAATCGACAATCAAACCATCAGACCGCTCGTGTATCCGACCTATAGTAAATTTACTCAATCACAAATTAGTCCTATATACGAAATTGTATATGCTGCTCATTGTATGTGCGGATATACAATACATTCGTTAACAGCTGGTGCGTGCGGATTGGCTGCTTTGTTTGTCACTCATGCGTGTGGCCAAATCCAAGTGATTATGTCGCGAATGGAAAATCTCTTAAACGACAAAAATCCAAACATTCATCAACAAATCGCTATCATCGTGAAGGATCACGTCCGCATAGTAAGGTAATATCTTAGAATATCAACTTCTTACTGAGAAAAAAATGATATTTGTAGTTATAATTACTGCAATAATGATTATTATTGTTATAATATTAGTAATAATAACCATATGAATGGTTCTAGCAACAAATGTATATAAAATAAACATCCCAATGATGGAACATATCCTAGTTTATGAACGATGCAATAAATATTTATAATTATAAAATTCTTTATACATAAGTAGTTACAAAATATATTAATTTTGTCTTATGTCCCATCCTCGTTAACACTAAAAAAAATTCATAAAGGCTATTCACATTTTGTTAGACAATTGTTATCCGTTTATTTTTTCGACCAAGGAGATTAAAATTCCATTTTTATAATGCTAATAATTCTATCACTAACAAACAGAGGATAAAAAATAAATATTTCACCGTATGTAAGATCTGTTTCTAAAAGTTTTCTATTGGTGGCATCAACGATTAATTTGAAAAGAGCCTTATCCATTCCTAACACCTTAAATAAGCTTATAAAAACTAGGTAAAGACTGTCAAGATCCTTTATCAAACCAACATGTGATATACAAAATTTCATATCTGGATGGTGATGTATGTTACATCGGTCAACAAGAAGACACTTACATACGAGAGACTGGTGGGTATGACATTAGAGATTGCTAGCGTAAAATTTGATGTTTCTAAAAGCACATTTTACATAAAAAATAAGTAAAAATATTAATGTTCTAATTACAATGTTCTTATGTTCTTATTAAAATGTAATATATCAATATTAAAAGCTAAAAATAAGCATTTTTTAAATATATTGCTCATAAAAAATTATTTTTATAATTATAACCTTGAACTTTAAAGTCATTTGAAGTCATTTAAAGTCATTTTGTAGTTATAACCCATGATGCAAGTAGTCTACTTGTATGATACAAGTAGTCTACTTACATCGTGATTATAATCTCATGTCCAGATACCGGGATAGCTTCGTTCAATCATTAGATCAAGTAAATTTTGATCGTTCAAATACTAAACAATAAAACTTTTATATAACTGAACATTTTATTACTTTTTTAAACGATAAAAACAATTCTATAAATTTTAAATAAAAATAAAAAGCTTTTCAATAAAAAAGATATCAGTTTAGATAAATAGAAATACTTAAGGGGATCTTAAAGTCAATATTACCGATTAAATTATATAATTTTTGTAATAAATATCTACTTTTTTTCTCTTTCATAGATTTGAAAATCCTTTTTCAGGATTAAAATATATGCATTATTACGTCTGTGAGATGGAGTTTTTGCCGAGAGCGACAAAAAATTTCAAAATTTATATATTTTTTACCATTTCTTAGTGTAACATGGCGTTTCAAGTTGACAAGTAGTGACAACATTTGCTTGATACGAAAGTTTTGCAATCTGTACTTACGAAACAGTAATATACAAGTAGTTTGTCCGAACAAATAACGAGTTCTTAGAATTACACTTAAACGGTTTATCGCGACGAATTTGTTATACAAAAATTGATACGAATGCGCGACTGCATGTATCATAGGTTGCGTGAGATATTGGTGTAATATATGAAGATATATTGATGCGTTGGGGAAAAACAGCGACTTCTGGTGACATTACTTATTGGTCGGAGTTCGGGCTTTATTATAGGATTGATATTATTTTTACATAATGAAAATATTTATAAGTGGATGAATATATTATATATTCTTAAAATATATTGTTCAACCATTGGAGTTTTAGTTAACAACCTAAAATGAATATAATTATAGTTATTATAAGCATAAAAAGATTGAAATTGTCATAAAAATGATTCAAATTACTATAACTTTATAGTCACATATTTTTTTAAATATATCCCACAACTATAAGATTATAATATAATTTGAATCATTTTTATGATTATAATAATTATAATTTTAATTCCAGCAACAAATGTATATATAATAGTTGATATCTTAGAATAACTATAATTACAATAATTTAGGCTGTCAACTATTATACATATATACCTTCGTTGCTGGAACTATACATATGGTTATTATTAGATTATTACTAATATTATACATAATAATCATAATATGTAATTATAGTCACAAATACCAAACATTTTTCTTTCAGTGCTTAAGAACTCATGACAGTTCAACAATACAAAAAAAATAAAAAATATAGCTAAAAATTAATGGTTTGCAATTTATATTGATTTAACTGTAAATGTTTTAAACAAGTATTTAACAAATTAACACAAGTTATTAAGATTTTCTTATATAACATTAACTTAATTAGCACAATTAATTTGGCTCAAAAATAATGTTACGTGTTCATTTCATTATGTCTAATTTAATTGTGGACTTAAAAAAACAAAATATATGCTGTACTTCGTTCATATGACTTGTTCAACTATTTTTATTTCATTGTATAAAGGATGTAAAGAAAATGCAAGAGGTAGTCTCAATGATCATCCAATATAATAAATGGTTTCAGTAAGTGATGCTGTTACAGTGTCAGTAAATGGTACTGTTACATATCAAAGAATCGACTATAAGCATATATTGTTATATATATATCAATCTGCATTTATACATACTGCATACTTATACTGCACTGCAGTTAAGTGTACAGTTATATTTCAGTAAAAATATTTGAAGTAATACATTCAAGTTTCCTCGTAGTTAAGACGACTTATTGCAGGTTTTCAGCCGTGATAGAGGAAGTTTTACAAGAAGTATGTTTAGTAGAGTTTACTAGTTCTGTATGCATAATATGTCTACTTGAATACTACTGTATAGTGGTGCGCTAATATATACTGTATATTTAAAACAATAGATAAAAGATAACTAATAACGCGAAAAAATTATATTTACTATTAACAATTTAATAGGATTGGAAAGACGACAATAAGATTAGCTTAGCAACTTATTTCTTGCTCTTCATTTCATTCTGTTTCAATGTATACATGTTGTGCTATATTGGCGAGCTTCTTATGGAAAAGGTATGTTTTTCAGATTTTAAAATTAACTGATTATAATCAGATGATCGTTTGCAACCGATGTTGCAGAGCATTGAAATTGGATCAATGTGTTATATGATCAATTGGTATCAATTATCGCCAAGATCTGTTCGCAGTCTTATATTGATAATCGCTATGTCCAGCCATCCTATAAAACTTACAGCTGGTAGAATGGCAAATCTGTCATTAACGACTTTTGGAAATGTGAGGCATTACATACATTTCACTTCTAACTTACTACGTTCTATTTCTCCTTCAGTTTTAAAACCAAAATCGCACTCAGAGGGAAAAAAAGCATTTTTAATAGGCAATTAACAGCTATAAAAATTTTATGTACAATTAATATAATAGGTTAAATATGATAAATTATGTACATTAATAAATGAATTAATTTACACTTATTGCAACTGAAATGGTTACGAGAATTTATCACTACTTACATTTAATTTTCGTTGTAATAACTATAAAGTAGCTTATTCAATTATATACGTATATATACAAGTATATATATAATACTAATTCTGCATAAACAACTTTTATATTTATCACTAATATAGTTGTTACCACTATGTTTTTTTTGAGTGCAACAATCCTACCGAAAAAAATAAATATTGAAGAATTATTTAATGATAGTTTTTTTTTTACAAATCTGATAATAATTTAATTTTTCGAAATTATTAAAAGTTAAATTATAAAAAATGTCATTTTAATATAACTTTTTAGGTATTGAAAACGAGCGTGGCGTATCTGAGCTTCCTGCGGACATTAGCTATGTAAATATGATTGCAATTATATAAAATATATTAAGAAATGTATTTAATTCTATCTAGTTAAGTTTGTAGAGAATCTTAATAAATATATATATATATATATATATATATATATATATATATAAAATAATATTATTTAGAATATTATATCAATATCAGATATCTACATAAGTCACATTTTCTTTCCATGTTATCAGATTGTTGAGTCATCTACGCACAAACAATTTATAATTTTTTATTTAATCCATATTAACAGTTTAAATTTAACAATTAAATAAAACAGAAAATGTTAAACTATGAACAGATGTCCAAATTTTATCAAACCTGATTCCTCAAATAATGATCTAAAATCGATTAGAAAAATTCAAATAGAATGACAAAACTGCAATTTCTCTGATTTGAAATCGACACCATTGTAAACTGTGCTTTATACGATCATTTCCCGATTAATAGTGTGCACATAGACTTACTGACTATCAGTTAGCATTACAAAAAAGTCTGCAATGTCAGCGCAAGCGCACGTCTCGCAACCTTGCGATCAATGCCGCGCGTCCGTTTGGTCTACTCTTCTTGCAGTCTTTGGCAGAATCTGTCACCGCAAACATGTCCAGTATACGCGATAAGTCCGTCAAATCACATAACTACAATTATGAACAAGACATTCGATATATTTTCAAATTGAACCACTGGATTATGGGGTCGCTCGGTATTTGGCCAATCCCGATACGAGGCATTGGAAGACACATGTCCAAGATTGCAATCGCAATATTTAATTTCGCGTTGAGCTTCGCGATAGTACCTTGCACTCTGCATATCATTTATGACCAAAAGGATCTCGACGTAAGGCTGCGCCTAACCGGTCTTCTAGGCTTCTGTCTCACCGTAATGACAAAATACTGCATCTTCGTAATACATCGTCCTAAGATATATCGTTGTATCGAATATGTGAAGAACGATTGGTGGCAGGTCGGTGTTGCTAATAACATATCATATTAATGTGGAGTTCGTTACAAACTGATATTAAAAAAATTATTTAAGTAAAAAAAGAATAAAAACATATGATTGAAGTGATCTTGATTTTTAATTAATCCGATCTTATGATCTATCGTTGATTGAAAAGTAAATATATTTTGTGTATTAAAACATAATAATACATTTGTCCATAAATGTATTTAATATAATAATATTGTATAAATCAAAATATACGAATAATTAATCTTTTCTCCACGTTGCATAGCAAAAACTTTAACTTAAAAAAAATTACATTAAAATTAGTAAATGCTGATCTTTCATCTATCTCGATAAATAACAGTTATTAGCAACACTATGACAGGTGACATTCAAGTCCGATCGCGAACTGATGCTGAAATACGCTACCACCGGTCGCAATCTAACGATAATCGGCATGTGTTTCATGTACACTGCTGGCATCATTTATCACTTGATTCTACCGTTCTGTGTTGAGCACAAAATCGACAATCAAACCATCAGACCGCTCGTGTATCCGACCTATAGTAAATTTACTCAATCACAAATTAGTCCTATATACGAAATTGTATATGTTGCTCATTGTATGTGCGGATATACAATATATTCGTTAACAGCTGGTGCGTGCGGATTGGCTGCTTTGTTTGTCACTCATGCGTGTGGGCAAATCCAAGTGATTATGTCGCGAATGGAAAATCTCTTAAACGACAAAAACTCAAACATTCATCAACAAATCGCTATCATCGTGAAGGATCACGTCCGCATAGTAAGGTAATATCTTAGAATATCAATTTCTTATTAAGAGAAAAATGATATTTGTAGCTATAATTACTGTAATTATGATTATTATTGGTAGTAATAATAACCATATGAATGGTTCTAGCAACAAATGTATATAAAGTAAACGTCCCAATGGTGGAACATAGTTTATGAATGATGCAATAAATATTTATAATAAATATTTATTATATTCTCTATACATAAGTAATTACAAAATATATTAATTTTGTCTTATGTCCCATCTTCGTTACCATTAAAAAAACTTTATAAAGGCTATTCACATTTTGTTAGACAATTGTTTATTCGTTTATTTTTTCGGCCAAGGAGATTAAAATTCCATTTTTATAATGCTAATAATTCTATCACTAACAGAGGATAAAAAATAAATATTTTACCATATGTAAGATCTGTTTCTGAAAGTTTTCTATTGGTGGCATCAACGATTAATGTGAAAAGAACCTTATCCATTCTTAATACCTTAAATAACCTTATAAAAATTAGATAAAGACCGCCTAGATCCTTTATCAAATCAAGATGTGGTATACAAAATTTCGTGTCTGGTCTGTGATGTATGTTACATCGGTCAACAAGAAGACGCTTACATACGAGAGACTGGTGAGTATGACATTAGGGATTGCTAGCGTAAAATTTGATGTTTCTAAAAGCACATTTTACATAAAAAATAAGAGAAAATATTAATGTTCTAATTACAATGTTCTTATGTTCTTATTAAAATATAATGTATCAATATTAAAAGCAAAAAATAAGCATTTTTTAAATATATTATTCACAAAAAATTATTTTTATAATTATAACCTTTAAAGTCATTTGAAATCATTTGAAGTCATTTTGTAGTTATAATCCATGATGCAAGTAATCTACTTGTATGATGCAAGTAGTTTACTCGCATCATGGTTATAATTTCATGTCCAGACACCGGGACAGCTTTGTTCAATCATTAGACCAAGTAAATTTTGATCGTTCAAATACTAACAATAAAATTTTTACATAATTCAACGTTTTATTACTTTTCTAAACGATAAAACAATTGTATAAATGCTTTTAAATAAAAAAGATATCAATTTAAATAAATAGAAATACTTAACGGGATCCTAAAGTCAATATTACCGATTAAATTATATAATTTTTGTAATAAATATCTACTTTTCTTCTCTTTCACAGATTCAAAAATCCTTTTTCAGGACTAAAGTATATGCATTATTACATCTGTGAGATGGAGTTTTTGCCGAGAGCGACAAAAAATTTCAAAATTTATATATTTTTTACCATTTCTTAGTGTAACATGGCGTTTCAAGTTGACAAGTTGTGACAACATTTGCTTGATACGAAAGTTTTGCAACCTGTACTTACGAAACAGTAATATACAAGTAGTTTGTTCGAACAAATAACAAGTTTTTAGAATTACACTTAAACGGTTTATCGCGACGAATTTGTTATACAAAAATTGATACGAATGCGCGACTGCATGTATCATAGGTTGCGTGAGATATTGGTGTAATATATGAAGATATATTGATGCGTTTGGGAAAAACAGTGACTTCTGGTGACATTACTTATGGTCGGAGTTCGGGCTTTACTATAGGATTGATATTATTTTTACATAATGAAAATATTTATAAGTGGATGTATAATATATATTTATTATATATTCTTAAAATATATTGTTCAACACTTGAAGTTTTAAACAACCTAAAATGAATATAATTATAGTTATTATAATCATAAAAAAGATTGAAATTGTCATAAAAATGATTCAAATTACTATAGTCACATATTTTTTAAATATATCCCACAAAACAACTATAAGATTATAATATAATTTGAATCATTTTTATGATTATAATACTTATAATTTTAATTCCAGCAACAAATGTATATATAATAGTTGACATCTTAGAATAACTATAATTACAATAATTTAGGCTGTCAACTATTATATATACATTCGTTGCTGCAACTATACATATGGTTATTATTAGATTATTACTAATATTATACATAATAATCATAATATGTAATTATAGTCAACAAATACCAAACATTTTTCTTTCAGTGCTTAAGAACTCATGACAGTTCAATAATACAAAAAAAGTAAAAAATATAGCTAAAAATTAATGGTTTGCAATTTATATTGATTTAACTGAAAATATTTTAAACAAGTATTTAACAAATTAATACAAGTTATTAAGATATTCTTGTATAATATTAACTTAATTAGCACAATTAATTTGGCTCAAAAATAATATTACGTGTTCATTTCATTATGTCTAATTTAATTGTGGACTTAAAAAAACAATATATATATAGCATAATGCTGCACTTCGTTCATATGACTTGTTCAACTATTTTTATTTCATTGTATAAATTTTATTCTAATAGAAAATGCAAGAGGTGGTCTCAATGATCATCCAATATAATAAATGGTTTCAGTAAGTGATGCTGTTACAGTGTCAGTAAATGGTACTGTTACATATCAAAGAATCGACTATAAGCATATATTGTTATATATATATCAATCTGCATTTATACATACTGCATACTTATACTGCACTGCAGTTAAGTGTACAGTTATATTTCAGTAAAAATATTTGAAGTAATACATTCAAGTTTCCTCGTAGTTAAGACGACTTATTGCAGGTTTTCAGCCGTGATAGAGGAAGTTTTACAAGAAGTATGTTTAGTAGAGTTTACTAGTTCTGTATGCATAATATGTCTACTTGAATACTACTGTATAGTGGTGCGCTAATATATACTGTATATTTAAAACAATAGATAAAAGATAACTAATAACGCGAAAAAATTATATTTACTATTAACAATTTAATAGGATTGGAAAGACGACAATAAGATTAGCTTAGCAACTTATTTCTTGCTCTTCATTTCATTCTGTTTCAATGTATACATGTTGTGCTATATTGGCGAGCTTCTTATGGAAAAGGTATGTTTTTCAGATTTTAAAATTAACTGATTATAATCAGATGATCGTTTGCAACCGATGTTGCAGAGCATTGAAATTGGATCAATGTGTTATATGATCAATTGGTATCAATTATCGCCAAGATCTGTTCGCAGTCTTATATTGATAATCGCTATGTCCAGCCATCCTATAAAACTTACAGCTGGTAGAATGGCCAATCTATCATTAACGACTTTTGGAAATGTAAGACATTATATACATTTCATTTCTAACTTACTACGTTCTATTTCTCCTTCAGTTTTAAAACAAAAATCGCACTCAGAGGGAAAAAAAGCATTCTTAATAGACAATTAACACCTATAAAAATTTTATGTACAATTAATATAATAGGTTAAATATGATAAATTATGTACATTAATAAATGAATTTATATTTATATTTTACAGTTATTGCAACTGAAATGGTTACGAGAATTTATCACTTCTTACATTTAATTTTTGTTGCAATAACTATAAAATAACTTATTCAGTTATATACATGTATATATAATACTAATTCTCCATAAACAACTTTTATATTTATCACTTATATAGTTGTTAACACTATGTTTTTTTTTATGAGTGCAACAATCCTACCGAAAAAAATCAATATTGAAGAATTATTTAATGATACTTTTGGATATCAAATCTGACAATAACTTAATTTTTCGAAATTATAAAAAGTTAAATTATAAAATGTCATTTTAATATAATTTTTTAGGTATTGAAAACAAGCGTGGCGTATCTGAGCTTCCTGCGGACATTAGCTATGTAAATATGATTGCAATTATATAAAATATATTAAGAAATGTATTTAATTCTATCTAGTTAAGTTTGTAGAGAATCTTAATAAATTTAATCCATATTAACAGTTTAAGTTTTACAATTAAATAAAACAGAAAATGTTAAACTATGAACAGATGTCCAAATTTTATCAAACCTGATTCCTCAAATAATGACCTAAAATCGATTAGAAAAATTCAAATAAAATGGCAAAACTGCAATTTTTTTGATTTGAAATCGACATCATTTTAGATATAAAATGTGCTTTATACGATCATTTCCCGATTAATAGTGTGCACATTAACTGTCAGACTTACTGACTATTAGTTACCATTACAAAAAAGTCTGCAATGTCACATCAGCGCAAGCGCACATCTCGCAACCTTGCGATCAATGCCGCGCGTCCGTTTAGTCTATTCTTCTTGCAGTCTTTGGCAGAATCTGTCACCGCAAACATGTCCAGTATACGCGATAAGTCCGCTAGATCACGTAATTCCAATTATCAGCAAGACATTCGATATGTTTTCAAGTTGAATAACTGGATTATGGGATCGCTCGGTATTTGGCCAATCGCGATACGAGGCATTGGAAAACACATGTCCAAGATTGCAATCGCTATCTTTAATTTCGCGTTGAGCTTCGCGATAGTGCCTTGCGCTTTGCATATCATTTATGATCAAAAGAATATCAACGTAAGGCTGCGCTTAAGTGGTCTTCTAGCATTCTGTCTCACAGCAATGACAAAATACTGCATCTTCATGATACATCGTCCTAAGATACATGCTTGCATCGAATACGTGAAGAATGATTGGTGGCAGGTCGGTGTTGCTAATAACATATCATGTTAATATGGAGGTTATTAAAAGGTACTAAAAAATTATTTGAGTAAAAAAGAGTAGAAACACATGATTAAAAAAAAACACATAATTAAAGTGATCTTGATTTTAAATTAATTCGATTTTGTGATCTTACTATCGTTGTTTGAAAAGTATATATTTTGTGTATTAGATCATAATAATATATTTGTATGTAAACATATTTAATATAATGATATAAATCAAAATATATGATTAATTAATATTTTCTCCGCGTTGTACAAAAAACTTTAACTTAAAAAAAAATTACATTGCGAAATTAATAAATGCTGATCTTTCATTTATCTCGATAAATAACAGTTACTAGCAACACTGTGACAGGTGACATTCAAGTCCGATCGCGAACTAATGCTGAAGTACGCTACCACCGGTCACAATCTGAAGATCATCGGCGAGTGTTTTACTTTCACTGATGACGTGTATCCGACCTATAGTAAATTTACTCAATCGCAAATTAGTCCAATATACGAAATCGTGTATGTGGCTCATTGTATGTGCGGATATACTATATACTCAGTGACAGTTGGTGCCTGCGGATTGGCCGCTTTGTTCGTTACTCATGCGTGTGGCCAAATCCAAATACTTATATCACAACTAGAAGATCTATTAGCTGGTGAAAGATTCAAACAAAGCCCGAACGTTCATTATCAAATCGCTGCCATCGTAAGAAATCACGTAAAAATAATAAAGTACGATATAACAATCCGTGTAAACAATTTATTAAAAATTTCAATTTATTTAAATTTATCAAAATTAAAAATTAAAAATTACTGTTAGAAATTTAATATTTTTTAATACAATTCATAAATTAAATTTGTTTAATTCAGAACACATTTATTTCACAATTTGATAAGTAGTAGTTGATAAACATAATAAAAGAAAAAATTGTCTAGTTTAATTTGTAATACCGTTGTTAATATTATTACATAAGTTTATATAATTTATTTAATTATTATTGTTCCACTGTATTATATGTGAAAAAGATAAGAAGATAAATGCAACAGGTGAGCTCAACTAATCTCCAATCCATTCCAGTAGACAGTACTGTTGCGTGTCATACTATACGCGGTCTATAAGCATATGCTATTATATGTACATCAGCCTAGTTACAATATATGTTGTACTTGCACCGTATATCAACTCTGAATATATATTGAGTTGGAACAAAAGCGTAATGCTACAAACTTTAAATTCAAGCTAATGTACCTTTATCAAAAATAAACGAAATTTAAATTTAAAAACAGAATTTTGAAGTTTAAAATCTTTAAAGATTACTATGTCTTCGAAAGATTACTATGTCTTTTGAATTTCTATAAGTTTGATAATTTTGGCATATACAAATCTAGACAAAATGGGAAACTTTCTTCTTACGTTATAAGCTTATCACGTAGCCAAAAAAACTTCAAAACTTCAATTTTCGAACCTAAAAATTTAAAATTTTCTTTACAAAATCATTTTTAAAAATGTTCCTAACATTTTTTAATGAATTATTATGGATTAAATAAAAAAAGAATTTTGATTATTTCATATCTTTGTCAGAAATAATCGTAATACAAGTTTAAAACAGATTTTTAAAAATGACTTTGCTTTATCAAATGATATATAACAGTTGTCAAATTTTGGTAAAAACATATAAACATCATATAAATAAAGTAACGTTACATAACTTTTGTTCCAGCTCAATACAACTCATTATAATTAGAATAAGTGAAGCAACGCATTTTCTCTCATATAAACTAGAATAACTTATTTCAGATTTGCGGCGAAAGTGGAAGAAGTTTTACAAGAAGTGTGTTTAGTAGAATTCACTAGTTCTGTATGCACGATATGTCTACTCGAATACTATTGTATAGCGGTGCGCTAACATATACTAAAGGAAAAAAGAATTCAATAACTCTTAATGAATTAGAAAATTATATGTATTATTTAAAATTTGATAGGATTGGACAGCGGACGACAGACTTAGTTTCGCAACTTTTTCTCTTCTCCTTGTGTCATTCTGTTTCAATATTTACATATTATGTTATATCGGTGAGCTTCTTATAGAAAAGGTATACTATTTCTTCGTTTTTCAGACATGCTACGTTTAATTTCGTTAATCATAACTGAGTAATCATTCGCGACTGATTTTGCAGAGTACTCAGATTGGATCGATATGCTACACGATTAATTGGTATCAACTATCGCCAATATCAGCTCGCAGTCTTATATTGATAATAGCGATGTCCAGCCATCCTATAAAACTTACTGCTGGTAGAATGGTAGACCTGTCATTAAAATCTTTTAAAAGTGTGAGGCACATTACGTACATTTATTAATTTCATTTCTATCTTGTGACTTCCATTCTTTCCATTTTAAAACAAAATTTGTAATAATTCTACGAAAAATATGTTAAAAATTATTTGATAATATTATTATGTAACAAACGTAGTAATAGATTCAATCTAAAAATTGCAAAAATCTAATTATGGCTGCAGAAATATCATCATAATAATATAATCTTTTTTATAATAATATAATCTTTAATATCTTTTTAGGTACTGCAAACTAGCCTGGCATACCTGAGCTTCCTACGGACGTTAGTCATATAAATTATAATGTGATATATGTTAAAAAATATTTTTAATTTAATCTGGTTTATTAGTTCAGCATAGAAGAAAATTTTCGTATAGATGTAATTTACGATATTACTCATATTACTCATATAGAATAAAACATTTAAGTTCATATCAGGTGTGCACTTCTTCACTTTTTTTACTCCACTGGTGTCGTTACTTCTATTAGCAGGACCAAATGAGCAGAATCAATCCGAACTTATTTAATTTTTTTGTACTCATTTTGTACTAATTTGTATCATCAATAAAAATTTTGTACCTTATATCGTTTTTGGGAAAAAAAACCATGGCGCTGCTAGTTTAATATTAAGCAGGACCAAATAAAAAAAAAAGAAATACAAATGAAAAGAACTGAATTTATACTAATTTGTACCAGCAAGAAAAAGTTAATATATTGATCCATTCTTTGAAAAACATTCTTTGAAAAACGATTAAACTTAACCTTATTACGCTCAAGATTAAAGTACCTTTCACCATGAACAGAATTAGTCGATACTCCTACAATCAATAGGGTATAATTTATATGACGTCTTTAAGATGTCTTATGCGTCGATTTATGACATCTTACAGATATATGACATCTAAAGATATTATCTTTATAATGTCTTAGACTTATCCTTTATGATATTTTACAGAATTATTTTTATGGCGTCTTACAGACATCATACTTAAGACTTGCTTCAGACATTTATCTAAAAAATAAAAATAAGAGTATGGAAATGTGTTGATAAGAGGAAGTATACGGAGCAAAAGTTGTAATTACCTGATAAATTAGTATGTGAATGACATCATATTTAATACATATTTTTAACAACTAATTATGACAGATAATAAATCATTATTCAAAAAATATATATTAAGTATAATATCACATTCATATATCGATTTATCAGGTAATTCGAATTGTTGCTTCATATTCTTCCTCTTATCAACGCGTTTTCGCAAAGCTTCGTATAATTGTGCAGTTGTAGATAATACAAAATATTAAAATGCCAAATTGACATCCAATATTTTTAATAAGTTACGTATTATATTTAGATTGACCATATCATACATTCGATATTATGTATTTTTTAAAAATATTTGAAAGATGTCTAAAAAATATCTTTTGAAAAAGTCTTAAAGACGTTTAGTTCAAGATGTCTTTTAGATATCTTTCACACATGCGTTTTCTCTGGGACGTATATCAGCCTAGTTATAATATTATGTTATTCTTGCACACATACTAACTCTGCATATGTATATATTAAATTGGAACAATAAAAACGTAACACTGCGAACTTTAAAATTCAAGCTAATGTATAACTTCATTAAAAATAAACAAAATTTAAATTTAAAAACAAGAGTTTTGAAACTTAAAATCCCTATTTACAAAATCCTTATTCATCCTATATACTAAAAGAAAAAAAATTCAATAACTCAACGAATAATAGAATTATATATGCTATTTAAAATTTGATAGAATTGGAGCAGGCAATAGATGTCTTCACTTTCCTTACCTTACTGTTGTTGTTGAATTATTTATGTATCATCAATCTCAATTTTTGTATTTTTTATAACGCGTGCTGATACAAATAATTAAACTTTGATGATTGAATAAAATAGATTAAATTAATTTCTTAACGTATTTCATTTTTTTATTTTAACATTTCTAGTTTCTCAAATTGCCTGAATCAATTGATTAAAAACGGATAATTTAAGTGAAAATAGGGAAAAGAAACTTTTTGATATAAAACCATTGGGTGTAAGGTAGACACGATTATACACTCTCCTATCAATCACGCGATCTGTCAGACTGTGTCGACAAAGTGGAAGGATGTCTGTAACAGGAGCGCAAGCGCATGTCCGGCGACCTTGCAATCAATGCCGCGCGTTCACCTCGTGCAGTCTTCAGCGGAACCTGTCATTGCGAACATGGAAAGCTCACAGGACGAGTATGTGACATCACCGAACGCTAATTATCAACGGGACATACGGTACATCTTTAAGCCCGGTAACTTGATCCTCGGCTCAATCGGCATCTGGCCTATTACGATTCGCGGAATCGGACGATATGCACCTAAAATAGCGATCGTGGTGTGTAATTCTGCGTTAGCCTTCGCGATAGTGCCCTGTATTCTGCATATGATCTACGATCAGAAGGATCTCAACATAAGACTGAAGCTTTTCGGCCTGCTAGGCTTCTGCACTACTGCAATGATGAAGTATTGCGTTCTCGCGATACGTCGACCCAAGATATTGCGCTGCATCGAGCATGTGAAGAGTGACTGGTGGCAGGTCGGTGTTGTTAATACGTAAAGTGTGTTACAGGATCAATACACAAAATTTATCAGCGTAATGATGATAAATAACGACTCATTTTTTTCTCTTGCGAGTTCAAAAAATCCTCGACGTGAGAAACCGATCATTTCCCCTACAGCACAAAAGCAGCAATATTGCATGTTGCAACAATATTGCAGCGTTATTGGAGCGATATTGCTGCACATTCTGTGTGGGCTGTAATCTTGTTTTTCAAGTAATCCGATTTTGTCAACTTCATATAAACGTCCATTTATTTCATATTGTTGAATGCTCTTTAATCAAATTTATTGCAGATTTATTATTGCAGATTTTAAGATTATTACAGATTTCAAACTGTATTGTATACATCGACAAAATTTAGATCTAATTTCAAAGCCTGCGTGATAACTTTTCCGTGTTCACGCAAAATCTCGCATTAAAATAAATCTTGTTTTTGAATAATTTTATCCATCCCATAATTTTTGTGATAAATAATGATTATTTTGTCACTTATTTCTTTCGACAAATTGGTTGCTTGCAATTGTGACAGGCGAAATTCAGCTCCGACCGCGAATTGATGCTGAAGTATGCCGCCACCGGTCGAAGACTATCCATGATCAGCGCGACTTCCATGTACGTTGCGGGCTTCATTTATCATACAATTCTGCCGTTTTGCACCGAACACAAGGTCGACAACCAAACCATTAGACCACTCGTATATCCAACTTACAGTAAGTTTTTTAAGACGCAGGCGAGTCCGATATATGAAATGGTGTATCTAGCCCACTGTGTGTGCGGATATACCATGTATTCAGTGACGGCCGGATCGTGCGGATTGGCAGCAATATTTGCCACTCATGCGTGTGGCCAGATCGAGGTGATCATATCTCGACTCGAGGATCTTTCATGTGGCAAAAACTTCGAGCAATTGTCGGATGTTAATCAACGAATCGCTCTCATTGTAAAAAGTCATGTTCGAATATTAAGGTAATATAATTACAAATTAATACTGTTCTCCGAAATTAATATTATCAGACTCTCAGTATAATTAATAGAATTTCGACTCCTCTCATAAGTTTTTTGAAATTTCTGTTATTTTTTTAAACAGTATTTTCTAGCATAATAAATAAATATACAAAATAAGAACCTGAAGATAAAAATGCCTCAATTTTATACATATTTTGGTTATTAATGCAAAAAATATTTTATTTTAATAAAATCATATTTGCGATAGCATTCCTGAGATTCTAAAAAAGAATTCTAAAAAAAAAACGATGAATTTGCAAGAAATTTAAATTCATAAAACTATGAGAAAGTTTTACTTCTATCTTTACACCTATATCTATTATATTGTATATATTGTATATATATATGTATTACATGTATTTGCATTTCATTTTTATAATTTCTCTAAAATGATTTAAAATTACTTCTACAGAGACAATATATTTTTAAATATATTTTTAAAAAGTTCTGACTATTTAGCCTATCCTACAATGTGCCCTTTGTTTCCTGTTTCTTGCTTTTTACCTCTTGCTTTTTCCTCCTTTGCGATCATTTTATCGATAATTATATTTCTTGCTACATGTTTCCTGTTTCTTCCGAAGTTCGTTAACTTTTATTTTGGGCGGTAATAAAACAAAAAACCGGATAAAAAGCAAAAAGACAAGATGTAAAAAAGTAGCAAAAAACAAGGAACAAAAACAAAAAGCATATTGTAGAATAATAACCATTAATATTCAATAATTTTTTTGAGTGAAAATTTTCTATTTTATAATATACATAATTTTTCATTACGATTTGCGCAATATACAAAAGGCGGGTAAATGCAACAGGTGTATTTAATGAACCTCCAATGCATTTCAGTGGGCGGTACAGTTGTGTGCTTGTAGATGCGCATGCGTTGTTATATCCTCAATGAATGCCTATACACATACTTTTCGCTGAATAAAGATCTAGACTTTGCATGCAAGCGAGCGCGAACAAACACGAACGAACAATTTACTTTAATACAAACGGGCAATATTAAATTCGTTCACTGACAAAAAAATATTCTAAATTTAATAAATCATTTATTAAAATCGTACTAACTAAATATAAAGATATATTTATTTAGTATAAGAATCATTAATTTGATTTAAATAATCATTTTATTTAGTAAATATTTAGTTATTGTAAATAAATATTGAATTGACACTATTCAAATAAATATTAATTAATATTTAATACATTTTTTCTCAGTGTTGAAACAAGCTGTTCGTGTTTTATGCTCATTCGCTTCTTTATCTAAATCCAATTCTGAACATATCTTTATATAAATAATAAAAATAAAATTTTCTTAAAATTATATCAAGAAACAACTCTCACAAAATTAAATCAATATATCGAATAAAGAGCCTTGAGCCAAATAAACAATATATTAACAATTGCATGAAATTTATTTATGCAAACGTTTCAATCTAAACACGAGGTCATTTTCTATGTTAATAAATTAATATTAAAACCGGCATGAAAACTTCATCCGAATTACTTGCTCATTGCATTCAAAAATTAATGGCCTATATAAATAACTGCAACCTTTTGTGTCAAATTGTAAATATGTTCTTCATAATTTAGGAATTCGATGAAGGAGTAAGTAACGCACAGGTCATGGTCATTCTGCTATTGAATATGATATTAGTGGAATGGATCTCAATGTAATGTAACTCTGGCAGGAGAGCTTCACATATTATAATATATAGGGTATTTAATAAATACGATAAAACTCTCGCATAGAGGTAGAGCTAAACTAGAGTTGAAAAGTCTATCATTTTACAATTTTTGCAATAGTTAACAAGATATTAATTACTAAAAATCGCCGAATATTGATTTTCAATAATTTTTTACTCAAATACTATCAATTTTACAGACAAATAGCAAGTAATAAAAATTGTTCATTTTTTTCTCATAGAGTTCTGAGAATTTTTTCAGAATTTTTTAATGCCGCACTTTCTTATGTTGGTAAAAATAAGAAAATGTAGTATTAAAAAATTCTGATTTCTCAGGCGTCGATATTCAATGACAGAATAATCATGACCTGCGCATTACATGCTTCTTTGAATTTCTAAATTATAAAGAACATATTTATATTATTATAAATTATAAAGAATCTGACACAAGAGGCTGCAGTTATTGATAGGACATTAATCTTTGGATACAATGAGCAAGTAATTCAGACTAACGAAATTTTCATGCCAGTTTTAATATTAATTTATTACATTGAAAACGTATTTTTAGATCAAAACATTTGTATATATGTAATTATTTTTAAAATATTGTTATTTGATTCGAAAATCTATATTTGATATATTAATTAAATTTTCTATTGCACAAATATTTCTAAAAAGTAATATAAAATATTTTTTACGCCCAAATTATTGCAGAATAACAGAACTCTCGTTAAAAAAATTTTACTTTGTTATATTTGTATAATATAATCATTTGACAATGCTGAGAATGGGTTTATAAAATTCAATTTCTCATGTGCAAGTAACAATGGATCTGTTACAGATTTTCCGCTGCCGTGGAAGAAATTTTACAGGAAGTATGTTTACTAGAATTCGCCAGTTCTATATTTACAATGTGTTTACCCGAATATTATTGTATAGTGGTGCGTTTAAATATATATATATATTTAAAACAAATGCCTTCTTTAAATCCTATATAAATTGAATTATTTATTTAAAATTTTCAATAGGACTGGCAAGACAGCGATACGGTAGGACTAACAACCTATTTCCTGCTCTTTGTTTCATTTTGCTTCAATATGTACATATTATGTTACATTGGAGAGCATCTCGTGGAGAAGGTATATTTAGATTTTAATTCATATAATTAAACATTTTAATTCTGTTACGTTTAATTATGTGATCTTCGCGTGAGCATAAAACTGTAAAAACTGTAAAAATGGATGAAATTCAGGACACATGTCGAGCATTTTTCGCAGATTTAATATTTCAGAGCAGTCAAATTGGAACGAGGTGCTTCATGATACGTTGGTATCAACTGCCGGCAAAGTCGGTTCGCAGTCTAGTCTTAGTAATTGCTATGTCCAGCCATCCTATAAAGATCAGTGCTGGCAGAATGATAGATTTATCACTAGCGACATTTGGATATGTAAGAAGTTGCAAAGCCTATACACGAAATCATATCTAATGACAAAAAAATTTAAAGAAATAAATTAATATTTCAAAATTACTTGTTTAAAAATGCTTTTACTTTTTTTTATATGTGCTCTTAATAAAAGACTGCAACTATAAGAAACTATAAATTATAAGAAAGTATTGTATTTTAATTTTTCATTAGGTACTCAAAACAAGTCTAGCGTACCTGAGTTTTCTTCGAACGTTAGTAGTATGAATATACTACTACGCAAATACATAAAAGAATAATATCAAAAATGATTCCTTCACGATAGAATACTTATAGATCAAATGTGAGCATTTTAGTAAAATAACAATGATATAATATTAATTGTACGTATCTAAAGATGACCTACTTTAACTTTGCCAAATATCTCGTAGGTTTTAGAAGAAAATCTTTTAGATAAAAATCGTAGTCTCAAGAAAATAATGGTAAAATTAATTTCCAAAAAAAATCAATTTTTCGTTATAAAAGGTCATATATACATAAAGATCATTTTTTAAAAATGAAATTATATAATTTTTTTCATAATATATATGATTATTCTAATTGTACTGCACCTAAACATATTAAGGTAAAATTAAGAAAAAATTAATAAGTTACGAAATATTTTATATAAAACGTTTTCTTCTATAATGAATGTTAAAAAGAGGCCGATTTTTTCTCACAAAAATGTAAGTAAAAGGAATATAATGTTTTTTATAGATTTTGACTTCGTGAATACTATATATATAATAATATATATATAATAATATTAATAAAAATAATGTTAATAAAAAGCTCAATTTTCAAGGTATTCCTTATCGATCTCGAATTTTTTATTAACATTATCATATTCAGGGAGATGAAATCTAGAAAAAACGCTATTTATTTTCTTACACCTTTGTGGGCAAAAATCAGCCTCTTTTTAACATCTCTCTTTTGGATTTTGAGATATATATATATACTGGTTATGACTGACAAAGTTCAAGTAGGAAATCCTGTATATATAATTATTAAAAAATTTTAAAAATTCATTGAGTTAAAATACAGATTCATAACGATTTAATAATATTATAACTAATGTTACTATATTCTATCTCTGTCCAATAGGAATCACGTAGTAATGGGATAACTACGTCAGATGTCAGCCGACAGCTGATAATTTTTATCGATTGTTGGTTAAATTGCTGCTGTCAGAGAAACACGAACTGACAATGATGCTTTCCATGAACAACAAAACAAAATGTGATCGAAATATGATTAATATCTTAAATAAAAATATATAATTCGTGTAAATAAACAATTATTGTGACTGTTTGTATAAGAGTGTGAATGTAATAGTGTATCAGTAACTGTACTATAATTTTTGCAACTATTGTTTTTATTTTACCTAACCTCTCTATCTATTATATTGCGCATTTATCTCACGTAACAAAAATTTACATAATTTTATAATATTTTAACTTACTAAAAATGTATATACTTATTATAAAAACGAAACAAATAGGTATATTTTGTAAACTGATGATATGACATAAAGTAATCAAATGTGATTTAACAATACAGTATACAGTCTACAAAGGAAATTTTTTCCAACAGAAACTGCGTATATTGTGAAGATATAAAAACGTCTTAATTTCTTTCAGTACCATCTTTTAATATATACAAGACAAGATTTATAATTGTATTAAGATATCAGTTAATAAATTGATGTGAAAATCACTACTGCAAAATGTCTGAGAAAATGACGGTTGGTGGTATTCCCGTGGAGTGTCTAACTGGAGAATCAGCTGCAATATGGTCTGGCTGGCGTACACTAGGAGACAGAGAGCTTGTGAGAGAAGCATCTGCCAAGGGAACTCATATAAAACTAGCTCATAAATGTCTTGCACATAGAAGAAATTGTTCTGTAGAACAAGCATGTACATATTTTAACAAGGAAGTAGATAATTGGGTCGATGAATTATTAAACAAAAAGCAAGTTCACAGAGCTTCACATGTTTTAAAAAATATGGTGTGTTAAACATATTAATATATTTTTTTAAGATTGGTTATAATTAATAAAGTTTTAGTGATAACTAAAAAAATAATATATTTATATAGACGATAATTTTTGTTTATATAGGAAAAGGATCCCATGGAACATATTTTTGTCATTTCTATAAAGAGCAAGGATTCTCTTTTAAGGGACTATTTGTGTGAATATATGATAAATATTAATGGATTCAAGAATGAACATATTGCAGCATGGAATATTATCAAGTCAATTAAACAATATGAAGAAAAATGCAAGTAAGTTTGTGAAGATAAAAAAATATAGCAGGAGGGAAAAATATTGATATATAATATCTTTTTATTTTAGAATTCAAAATGGATTAAGTTCTTGTATATGTTTAGATGATATAATGAAGTTACCACAGAATATTGAAGAAGCTTTACGAATTGAATTATATTTTTCTTTGAATGATCCAGAAATTTTGGGAAATGTGTCAAATAATATTTTGTGGGATTATTTATTGTCTAATAATAAAATTAATGCATTAAAGATATGGATTGATACAAAGTATAACCCAGACGGTTCACAAATCTCAGATAAAATTGATTCTCATTTGAAATCATTGTTTACGAATTTAAATATTACACCTGATATGGTTGACTATATAGATTCTTCAAATGCTGGTGATCTTGTAAAAAATCTAGCTAAAAATCATTTATGCAGGTGTGCACATAATAGCTGTATAATAATATTTAATATTAATCTATACTTTCTTTGCTGGTTTAATAATAAATTTTTAAAAAATGTCTAATTTTTTAATTTTAGATACGGCATTTTTACAATAGAAGAAAAAAATGATTTGCAATTGATATTAAATCGTTCCTTTGGCTGTGGTATTACATTGGAAGAACTCAGTACAAAGATATTATCCTTAGCTTCTAGTAACATTAATAAAACGGAGTTCTTGCACAACATTGATTATCAACTATGTCTTATAGATTGCTCGCAAAACTGTCATATTCAAGAAGACACTTTAAAACTTACAAAATTCTTCAACGTTTTAACTGATATGTGCAATGCTCGAGATAATTACGAAAATGCGTTAATATACGGAATTGTGGGCTCGATTGATTATCTCTCAGACGATTTTAATGATTATCTGAAAACAAATTATTTAGTAAGCTTAGCACTAATATTTTTGCAATCATGGCAAATGCGAAACGCGTTGTGTGATAATGCTTTAGAAAAGAACACGTTAATGAGAGATATATTTACGAACAAGACTGTTTTAAAAATCGATACACGTGTTATTTCCCAAGAAGTTCTTCAGTACACACTTAGGCATGTACCTGAGCTGCAATATATCATCGAAGATCAAAGTAAAAAAGATGATATTACAGTGTATGATTTATTGGATGGCTATAGAAATTTAAGTTCGAAATCTGCATTCAAGTGGCGCTTCAAGAATGAGCCTTTGCCTATTTTCACAAACGAAAAACTTGTTAAGAAATACGGACATCAAGAAACGCTAACATATGGTTATTATCTGAAAGAAGGTAGGCCGAATATGGCTATGTATCATTTACACGCTCAAGCGAAGTTACTTGGAAATGTATCTTCCCATAGGTTCGTATTCTTATGATATAATGTTCATTTTGTGATCGTTAATAATTAAAACAAATTTTAGGAAATTCAAAGCGGCTTTGTATGCACATGTTCTTGCTTTGAGAAATTTAGATAAATCTGATATTGTATGCAGCTGTATTGCGTTCGTCGAATTGCTGAAAATTGATTCGAATAATTTACGATTACACGTAACTGTGGCAAAATATGTACAAGAGCAGTTAAATATTTCCATAGGTAATTTAGTTTATATAACTAATATGACATTCTAAAAAAATAACTATATCAATGTAATTCTCGCAATATAAATGTTAATATTAACACCAATATGTTGTGGACTAATACTATGGGTTTTAAATCTACATTATGATGTTGATATAAATCATTGATATAAATCATTTGAAATCCATACCAGAAATGGTATAAATTCATACCGATATTGTTTATTATATAGGGAATCTATTGGAAAATGTGGTGTATAAGAATCAAACTGATTTAAAGACTGTGATGTTGTATCTTGAACAGAGCTTCCAAAAATATTTAGCGGATAAAACTTTTGATAATGCGCAATTTGTTGAAACATTGAAAACATGGGACATCATCGTACGCTTTGCACGTGTTCACAACTGTGCGTTACCTGAAATATTGTTGAAGTATTTAGTAGATCATGATTTATGGTTCGAATTCGTTGCAGTCTGTGATATATTCTCTTATCCCAAAACCCAGGTACGAAACAATGCTGATTAAAATAAAATTTGCATAAAAATAAAACTCAAATCGATCACGTGCTAGGTGCTAGGAAACACCAAATTGTTCAATAATGCGAACATACGGGAACATCTGTTAACGTGTTTAAGCAATGATAAACTTAACAAATCTGAATCATATAACGAGAAGACGAAATCTCAAGACCCAAGACAATCATCATCAAGACAGCATAAAGAAGTTGAAACGAAAGAAAATGTAAGATTGCTGTTGTTTCTTAATAATTTTAATTCCTATATATAAACAATATCATTCTCTAGAAATCTCCAAAGTCCACTTCAGCCACATCAGAAATTGAGACAGACACAATTAGTGCCAAAGATATTCCCAACAACTGTACCTCGACTTCTTCAGATAATAACTTATGGTTAACTATATTAAACTGTCATCAAAGTCAAGATCCACCTAGAGCATTAATTAATGCGTCTCGATCAAATTTAAGGCCTCTATTGACTGTCTTAGCTACGTGTTACGAGGTATTATTTTATTCCAATTGAGTACAGATTTTATTGATCTTTCATTTAAATTATTTAAAAATCTCGTGTTAATAGCCGTCCTCTGTAGTAGCATATTGCTATTGTTGGATGGTAATATCGACAGGAAGAAATGACATACTTCATGATTACACAGAATGTCTAGAAAAACAAATATGGCCTTCTGATAAAGTATCAGAATTACTAAACAAAATGATTCAATATGGTTACATTAAGACAATAAATCGAGCTTATAAAATTTTTATGCCTGTAAGTTTAATTAACTTAACAGTGTAATATCCAAAGATCTTTTATTAAAATTGGTACTAATGTCTTGTAGGACAGTATTTTGAATCCATTCTTTGAGTTTCTAATGCAAGCAATCAGTTATGGTGAATTCAAGGAAAATCAACAGTATTTAATAGAGTTTAAATCGCAATGTTCCTCGCTTCAAACTAATGTACGTACATAATTATAATAAAATCATCCCAATGTATTAGCTAACTTCAATGATTTTATTTCTTTTTTTCTTTTTTTTCTTTTTAGAAAATTGTGGATTGGGATAGCGTCCATTTTACGTACTTGAAAAACTTGTATTGGGTTGCAGTTGTTGCAACCCAATGCATTGTTACGGCACTCGGCTATGGTTTTCAAAGTACGTTTTTACGAGTAAAGTTTCTCGAAGCGCTAATCAAATGTAATTTTTCTGCAGATTTACCAGGTAAAATGTGCTCAATTTTTTACATTAATCTATCTTATTAAATATAGTTGCAGTAAAAATTGTTATTGTATATTATAGTTGCTGTACCGGATTTTCAACATTTGTTGGATATAATAAAAATTCTGGAGAAAACCGATGTGAAATTAAATTTCAGAGCCGTTATTCCAATCAATAATACATATAATTTTGATACAGAGATTCAAAGATGTATTAATGATTTAATAGCAATCGAAAATTACAGTACTGCCTTAGAGTTAGCATGCTACACCGAATTCAAGTCATCCGAAATTATATTAGCACAAGTAATATCTTTCGAAATTTATCGAGAAATCAAACACTTATATTACTATTTTAAATAGATATACAGGATGTTTGATAAGTAAGGATAAAATTCTCGCATAGGGATAGAGCGGACTAAATTGAGTTGAAAAAGTCCTCTACCATTTTCGTAATAGTTAACGGATATTAATTAGTAAAAATAATATTTAAAGGATATTAATTACTAAAAATCGCCGAATATTGGTATTTTTACTTACAGTAATTTTTTATTCAAATATTATCAACTTTACAGAAAAACAGCGAGTGACAAAAATTGTTTATTTTTCTATTATATAGAGTTCTGAGAATTTTTTCAGAATTTTTTAGTAGGTAGCGCATTTTTTCATAATGGTAAAAATAGTTGTCAAGAAAATGCAGTATTAAAAAGTTGATAAAAAATTCTGAAAAAATTTTTAGAGCTCTATGAGAAGAAAATAAACAATTTTTGTCTCTTGCTGTTTTTCTATAAAGTTTAT